TCTGTTTGGAGACAAAAGAAATTTTATGATTAAACACAAGATTGTGAAATTATTTTTTTCTTTACCCTATTTTGACATTTAGTATGCATGTCTTACATTGAAAATTAATCATAAAAAGATTTAGTGGTCAGGAATTAATACAAATATTACTAATAGAATAGGGTTATTATATAGGTAATAGCAATGTGTTACTAATGATTTTACTATATAAATATTTTGAAATTCAGGAAGAAAGGGTTTTGTCCATGGTTAGGAATTAATGAAGGCATTACTAAAAGAATGGAACTATTAATAATTTTTTACTGTAGAAATGGATTGAAAGTGAGGAAGACATGAAGGTTTTTAATGGAGATAGTGTAAATACATTGTTAATTAATTTACTAGATAGACATTTTACAAATCCCTTTACTATTAAGATAAATTTCTAATAATTTTTGAAAAGGGATTGTTCATGAAAGCTTTTTTTTTAAGTTTTATTGACAGAATCCTATTATTTGTATAATGAGTTTGACTCACAAAGAAAAATCCTGGCAATTCTTTTGTTGTCATTCAAGTTTTTGTTTTTTTTGCTGATATATTTTTTAAAGATTTAAATAATAAATGAAACCAGATTTTTGCTAAGACCAAGAATTTTAAAAGTCAAATCCTATCAAGCAGAAATCCATATATTTTGTACATTTATTTTTTTAGTCCATACACGTAGGGCAATTACAGATAATGTGAACACCAACATTTATGCAAATGTTTTTCAAACTGTGATAGCAATGATTCTGTCCTCCATAACCAACTGATCAGTCATCAAAACAGCTGAGCAAGACAAGCAAATCAAGGAAGATTAACATGGAAATTAAGAGATTAAACAAACCAGTCACTTTCAAACTGTTTTTATCATTTCAGATATGCATTCACAAAAATGTCTAAGGCAGCCATTTTTATCTCAAAACTTTTAAAAATTTACTGAGAAAAGTATCAAGTTTGCAGATGTTTTAATTTTTTTAAAACCCTTGTTTAAACTTCCCAAATTTATTGAAAAGTGCATATGAAGTTTTTATAAAATATAGCAACATTTGTTATACAGATGTTTTAAAACAGTTTTTAATTTTTGTCCTTAATAACAAAGTCCTTGCATACTTGAACAGGAAATAAAACTTATTTATTGTTTTGGTGAATAACTAAAACGTTCAAGGAATTGATTTGTATGGGTATGAAATACGTTTTTTTTTTTTTTTTTTGGCATTTTAATGAACATCTTGAAAGGCAATAAATGAATTTCTCTTTTTCCCTAATGTCTATTTTTTACATATATGCATCAAATAAACATTGCTGTAAATACATGACTTGGTGCATAATTATTTTTTTAAGTTTTAATTCATTAGCAATATTATTGGTTCTTATCTGGTGGCTCAGCTTCAGTCACTCCCCCACCACCAGAAGGTTGCCTTTCTGTGTCTTTTCTATAAATACTTTCATGGGAGGCTATGGTGCCTAGATGTTTTTAATTTAATCGTAGTACAAGACTGGTGTCAAGGTTTCATCAATTTACAATTGATGTAACCATAAATTCTATGCTAACAGTTTCTTTTCTCACACTTCTGGCTTGTGAAATTCCCTTCCAACTCCATGCTTTCCAGCCAACTTTAATTTCCCAAAATTTAAATGCAATGTCACTATTTGTTATCATCCTGATTACTCTTTCCACTCATTATTTATATTTCCATTTCGTAATTCTTTCACGCTCTGTAACCCCTTGTGTCATCGTAGCTAAAGATACCAACTATAAAAAAAATCTAAATTATAGTCTATGTAAATTCTATTTTAAGTTGGTTTCTTTTGTTTCATTAATAATATTTAATAAAAAATAAGTTTTATTTTATTCAAAGTTGATCAACTTATATGTTTTAATAATGCATATGTTTTAATTTAAGACTATGGCATTAGTTTTATCCCATTTTATGTTTCATAGATCATACAAAGGAATTTGATAAGTTATAAAACAAAGAGCTATTTGAACTGTTAGGAAAACTTGATTTATTTGGGAAAGATATGAAAGTAATCAAGAATATAAACTGGGAACAAACGAAATTCATAGAGATAGAAAATGAATTAAGGACACAAAAATAAAGAAGAATGAAGCAATAGAAATACAGAAGGATTCTGCTGAGGATACCATAGACCAAACATGTGAGCAATGAAAAAACATTTAGAGAAAATGAATCCAAAAAGGAAACTTATAGTTAACATCAGGAAGAGCAGTTGAACTTTCCAGGGCACATAAAGAAAGAGAGCTAGGAAAATCTGATACTCTCAAGATATTAAAGGCAAGAGGGAGAACAATAGTGAGTTTGAGTAAATAGATGGTGGAACAATGTTTAGGAGAAATAACAAAAAGGTGAAATTTATTTAAGAGCTATGATGGATAGGGAATTGTGGAGAGCCATGATCGCCTACATCCTGACGAGAGTCAAAAATAGGAAAAAATGTAAGACAAGGATATTCACTAAATATATTTAAAATATACAGCAAGCAATCTAAAGAGAACTAGAATTCCAACTAGGATTTATCTTTGTTGGGAACAATCTTAACAACATAAGATATGCACATAATACCTTGCTGATGGCAGACATAGAAAAGAGCAGAAACTCCTACACAATGTTGTAAAGGAAAGCAGGAAGAAAGGCCTATCTATCAATTCTAAGATAGCAAGGGGAATAGCCCAAGAAGCAATCCATTAATTGGAGCTGCCAAAAAGTGTGACTACTGACATATCTGGGAAGTGCTTTCACAGTTGATAGAGAATGCAACACTGAAATTGAGATGTTTTCCAAAATTTCATAAGAAACAAAGAGCATTGAACTGTGATGTAATATCAGTCCACTTATGTGGCAGTGAACCCAGGATTATTTCCACACAGATAAGAGACTTGAGGCAGTAGAAATTCAGTTCCACAGAAGAATGCTGAGAATACCATGGATGGAGCATGGGAATAACAAGGAAGTTTTAAAGAAAATAGAAACAAAATGGTCAGTTATAATTAGAATCAAAAAGAGACACTTGAATTTTTTTTGGATATGGGATGAGGAAAGAAGGTCTGGAAAAAATTTGACATTCAAAGGGATACACTGAAAACAATAAGAAAATATGGAGCCTACCTAATGAGCTCGTGCAAATCATTGCAGAACAAAGACTGGAAGGACAGTAAACATTCTTCTGAACTACAAAAATTAGGAAGTTGTAGAGAGCCGTCGTTGCCCAAGTCCTGAAGTACATAGAAGAATTTTTATAGACTTTCATAGTTATTAATGATAAACATGTAATAATCAGTACAAACTTATTAATTTTAAACTTGCCATAACAAGAGATACGAAATGGAAATCAAGTTTTGGCCTAAGCAACCTTTAATGCTGAAGTCATTTCAGAAATGATTGATATTTGATGGCAGAGGTTATGTCTACTTGTGTATTATTAACATTTTGAAATTCCAAAAGCTTATAATTCATTCTGTTTGATAAAACTGAACTCCAGTTTATCTCTTAAGAAAAAAAAACAGTGTTTACCTTTAAAAAAAAAAAAGAGATTTGAACTCTGACACAAACCTATTAATTTTTCTTTTTGGGGGAAAATGTGTTCTCTCAGACAATATCACATGATTAAAATAATAAAGTTTGTGTCTGTAGCTTCACACGTCCTTAGGGTTATCTTATGATCAGGCTTTTGTCTTTATTCAGAAATGAGGATTGTATTTTTCTTGGCAAATTGCATCAATATCATTTATCTGATTTTGTGAATAGACTTATCCTCTAAATACTGAGCCACTTTAAAACTGATAACCCTAGGAAGAAACAAAAGTGACACTTATACATAATATCAGAAAGACAGCTGAAGTTTCTGTGGTGCATAAATAAGAAAAGAAGGCCTGGAAAATCTGGCCCTCACAGATTGAAGGCAAGAGGTACAGAGGAAAACAGCAAGTAATGTACCTAATGAGCTTGTCTAATTGAATATAGTGTAGGGATACAAATGATGATTCTCTCAATTTCATTGAGATAGTCAAATGGGTTATGTGATGACTGATGAATGACATCAGGGGATTGTGACAAAGAGAAATTGTGATGTAGAATCCAGAGAAGAAGGATGTCCCTAGCCCACAGAGGTAGGTCTTAAAGGAAAAAAATCACATGACCTAAGCAGGTTCATAGAGAAACCGCCATAATTCCAGTTTTCCCTTTGGAAAATATTTCAAGTAAGGTTCCCCTTTTATGCACACTGTTTGTTGTTGTATATATGTTATAATTTCTCTGTGTGGGGCATGTGTATATGTGTATATTTTGTGTATGATGTAGCATTATAAAACTCTCTGAGATCTAAGCATGTTTGTCATTCTTTTTCCAATCAATTATTCCATTATGTACATGAAGTAAGGTGTTATTATAATGGGGGGGATTTCAAATGGGAGAATAAATTTTTCCTTCCTAGCTCTACCTCATTATGGTAGTAAAAAGCAAATATTGCTAAGAGCTACATAGCATAGAAAGTTGTGGAGAGCCATAATTGCCTATGTCCTGAAGGGACCCGATACATGGAAGAATTCTGAGGAAACAAACATTGTCATTAATCTTTCTCCTCCACCCCAGAGGTTCACAGACATGACTAACATCTGTTGTAATTTCTATGGTTAACAACAAAAATTATAATATTATGAACTGCTATTATTCACATTAAAGAACTCCATATGAAGTTCTTCATTTAACAGGTTTAAAACAAGACTAAATGAGAGGAAATATAGGAAGAGTGATTGCCAATTTTTTCAATGCATTGGGCCTGTGCATATACCTAGAAAACTGAGATTAAAACTAAAGATGTTTTCTCAGACTGTCACCAAACCATGAGGACCAAATGCCATATTTTGTTAATAGTTTTGAAGACACACTTGTTAAACAATGCTCTATGGGGTGGCGATCTGGTTGATATTTTGCAAGTTTAGCTCAGCCTGCCACACTTCGATGACTGTGACACCTAGTGAGGATCAATTCATAACAAAAATAATGCTTTTGCCTCCTACTCCATTGTGAATTACCCTTTCAAATAGTAATTTAACAATGAATGTGTTCTGTTACACTACAAAAAACGTCTTCAGTTCATTTTTTTTTTATTGTTTTCTGCAGTTTCAGATTTTGAAATTTAAGCATCATCAGCTGTTCAAACTTTTAGTAGATTTTTGTTTGCTAAATTAACTCCTAATTACAACCTGTTCAGAAAATGTCATGATTATTAAAATTGCTCCATTTTTATTCTGACTTCATAATTTGGCTTGCCAAATCTTTTGTAATCTATTTCATTCTTTGTGTAAATCAAAATGCACAAATTAGCAAATATTCATTTTTTTCTACATTTTAAGAAGTTCACATAAGGAAAATTGTAGGAATGTTGCAATTTTTCTAAATTAATTTGATTTAAAATTACTTGTTATTTACATACATTAATATCTCTCTCCCTTTTCCAGTCTATTCATCTGTATCTATCTATCTGACTATTTCTTCTATCACACTTCTCCCTTGTGGCACTCTCACTTTCTATCTGACTGTTTCTTCAGTCACACTTCTCACTTGTGACACTATCTCTGACTTTTCTTCTGTCACACTTTTCCTCTGTCACACTTCTATCTGACTGTTTCTTCAGTGACACTATCTCTCTCTTTCTATCTGACTGTTTCTTCTGTCACACTTGTCACTTGTGACACACTCTCTCTTTCTATCTGACTGTTTCTTCTATCAAACTTCTTCCTTGTGGCACTCCCACTTTCTATCTGACTGTTTCTTCAGTCACACTTCTCCCTTGTGACACTCTCTCTTTCTATCTGACTGTTTCTTCTGTCACACTTCTCACTTGTGACACTATCTCTCTCTCTGACTGTTTCTTCAGTCACACTTCTCCCTTGTAACACTCTCTCTTTCTATCTGACTGTTTCTTCAGTCACACTTCTCCCTTGTGACACTCTCTCTTTCTATCTGACTTTTTCTTCTGTCACACTTCTCAATTGTGACACTATCTCTCTCTCTCTCTATCTGACTGTTTCTTCAGTCACACTTCTCCCTTGTAACACTCTCTCTTTCTATCTGACTGTTTCTTCAGTCACACTTCTCCCTTGTAACACTCTCTCTTTCTATCTGACTGTTTCTTCAGTCACACTTCTCCCTTGTGACACTCTCTCTTTCTATCTGACTGTTTCTTCAGTAACACTTCCCCCTCGTGACACTCTCTCTTTCTATCTGACTGTTTCTTCTGTCACACTTCTTGCTAGTGACACTATCTCTCTCTTTCTATCTGACTGTTTCTTCTGTCACACTTCTGACTTGTGACACTCTCTCTCTCTCTATCTGACTGTTTCTTCTGTCACACTTCTCAATTGTGACATCTTTCTCTCTCTACCAGACTGTTTCTTCTGTCACACTTCTCACATGTGATACTCTCTCTCTTTCTCTCTCTCTCTCTCTCTCTATCTATCTATCTGACTGTTTCTTCTATCACACTTCACCCTTGTGACACTCTCTCTTTCTATCTGACTATTTCTTCTGTCACACTCCTCACTTGATACATCTCTCTCTCTTTTTGTACCAGACTGTTTCTTCTATCACACTTCTCACTTGTGACATCTCTCTCTCTCTCTATCTGACTGTTTCTTCTGTCACACTTCTCAATTGTGACATCTTTCTCTCTCTACCAGACTGTTTCTTCTGTCACACTTCTCACATGTGATACTCTCTCTCTTTCTCTCTCTCTCTCTCTATCTATCTATCTGACTGTTTCTTCTATCACACTTCACCCTTGTGACACTCTCTCTTTCTATCTGACTATTTCTTCTGTCACACTCCTCACTTGATACATCTCTCTCTCTCTTGTACCAGACTGTTTCTTCTATCACACTTCTCACTTGTGACACTCTCTATCTGACTGTTTCTTCTGTCACACTTCTCACTTGTGGCACACACTCTCTCTCTATCTATCTGACTGTTTCTTCTATCACTCTTCTCACTTGTGACATCTCTCTCTCTATCTGACTGTTCCTTCTGTCATACTTCTCACTTGTGACACTCTCTCCCTCTCTCTCTCTCTATCTGACTGTTTCTTCTATCACACTTCTCACTTGTGACACTATATCTCTCTCTCTATCTGACTGTTTCTTCTGTCACACTTCTCACTTGTGACACTCTCCCGCTCTCTCTCTCTCTCTCTGACTGTTCCTTCTGTCACACTTCTCACTTGTGACACATTCTCTCTTTCTATCTCACTGTTTCTTCTGTCACACTTTTCACTTGTGACACTCTCTCTCTCTATCTGACTGTTTCTTCTGTCACACTTCTCACTTGTGACACTCTCTCTCTCTCTATCTAACTGACTGTTTCTTCTGTCACACTTCTCACTTGTGACACTCTCTTCCAGTTTATTGCTTTCCAGTCAATTTTGATTTTCAAAACTTTAAATGCAATGTCAGTCGTTATCTTCTGTCTTATTAATTCTTGTTCTTTTATTGTTCTCTCACTTTAATAGTGTTTTTCACTAATATTCTGTAACACTTAATAGACCCTTGCATCTTAGTGGCTTTATTGCCTTGTTTCAGATAAGATCATGAAAAAATCTATCTCTGGTCATGCCTATATATCTATTCATATCTATCTATCTATCTATCTATCTATCTATCTATCTATCTATCTATCTATCTATCTATCGATCTCAGTCCGTTCATATTCCATATTGTTTAGACTGTTTTAATTCTGTGATTCTTAAACAGAAAGTATTTGGTTCCGAGAAAATAAGTCATAGCAAAATTTCAGTTGTATAACTAGAACACATGAAGATAAGAGCAAAAAGTTACTAGATAACTGTTCAAAATCAGGGATTAATTAAAGAAAATTTGGTATTACAAGAGGTGGAATATACATTGGAGTATCATCAGTTTAGATGACAGTTAACAGCTTTGTTTGGGAGCAATTAACTCTATGTGTCATGTTCTTGAATGAGGTGAATGATCATGGTTCTCCACAACTTTCTCTCATCTATTCCTCTCAGTATATTTGGTCTTTTTCATTATGATACTTGTTCCCTTATCTATTGAACTTACCTAGGTTCCTCACTATTTTCTACTGCATCTCTTGATTTCATTGTTACATGTGAGTTAAATTCTCCAAGCCTTCTTGCCTCATTATGCATCCAAAGATTTAACCTCTCTCATTTTGGTTGTTAACAACAGTTCCTTTGTACTTCCTATTCTCCTTAATGCTTCCTAATCTGTCACATGCTTTGTGCATGATATTCTTGAAACTTGTCAGGATAACCACAGTTGTTTAATTTTTTTAATTTTTTTTTATTTAGCTCTGATGGAATTTCCCAGTATTTCCTAACCTTTAGGAGGTTAGATATTAAGTATCAATCCTTTACTGTTTTCTTCATTTTTAACCACTTAATATTTTATTCAGTTTCTACAAAAGTATCTTTTATTCTCGTGTGCCTTTAAATTTCTGAATTAAACAGTTTTGTCATCTTGTTTAATTCTGACATTCTCAATGTGTAGTAAATCTTGAATTGTCTCTTTTGTTTACCACCATGGATTCTATTTTCTCCTTTGTTGAAAATTTGCTCAGTTTTCCTTTTAAATTTGCTATTAATACAGTGTCAGCTGCATAATGGTGTTGTTGAAATTACATCTGCTGATATTAACAGGTAAAACAAATCTCTTTTAAAAATTCTGTACAATTTCTATGAGACCATTGCTTTGAAACTTTTGCACTTGTTTGTTTTATAAGTTGTGCTGTAGGAATTTTCTTTATACAAAATATTTGGTAAAATTCCTAATATCATTTTTTTTTGTCAGTGACAAATGATTAGACATCTTCTTAAAGTGAAAAGATGCAGATTTGGAATCCATTATTGTATGTTTTAGCAGCTTGCAGGAAACATTTAATTCAGATAAGATATATGCCATAATTATTGGGCCTTTTTACTTTTATACTTGGTTTAGTTTCTGCAAGGAGCGTTGAAAAGAAAGACGGTGAAATCCTATCTAAAATATGGATGCATCCTAACACGAGGATTAGATCATAAGAGTAGTTTTTTTTTTTTATAACAGAAGAGTCACCCCACAGTAGAAGTAGGGTGTTGTATAATAAAAGCAGGGTCATATCAAGGTAGAATTAGGGGTTGGATTAACATGATAGAAATAAGGTTGGTTCATAATAGTAGAATCACATCATAATGGAAATATGAGCAGATCATAATAGTAGGAATACATCAATGGAAATAGGGATGGGTCATAATATTATGCTTGCATTGTAGTGGCAATATGGAGGATCATAACAGTAAGGTCATATCATAGCAGATGAATGGTTGGATCATAATAGAGTTACATCATAGTGGAAATAAGAGTAGATCATAATAGTAGGAATATATCAGTGGAAATAGGGGTGGGTCATAATATTATGGTTGCATTATAGTGGCAGTATGGAGGATCATGGGTCACATCATAGTGGAAATAGAAGGGTCATATCATAGCAGATGAATAGTTGGATCATAGTCGTAGGATCATATCATAGATGAAAGCTTGGTTCATAACAGTAGGATCATATAGTATAAATAGGTTTGGATCATATTAGTAAGATTATGTTATAGTAGATGAAATATGAGTTCATAATAGCGAGGTTGGCTCAAAGTAGAAATCAGTAACAGAGTCACATATTTGGAGATGAGCTGTTGGTTCATAATAGTAGGGTTATATCATAGTAAAAATAGGATCAGATCATAGTAGTCAGGCCACATCATATTAGAAGGTGCAATGTAGAAATAGTGTTGAATAAAGCTAAGGTTTTGTTAGAATAGAATTAACGCTATATCATCCCATTAGATTAATTTGTAGTAGAAGTAGTTGGATATAATTATAAAAATAGTATTGTATAGATGTAGTATTTTATCATGTTAGGAGAATATTTGTGCCAGACAACACTCATTGCCTGGCACTAAATATTTATTTCAAATAACCATATGTTACCTTTGGATAATGTCATTTTCTTTTAATCTTTCTAGAAAAATCCTTTTCTTCTTTAAGGTTAGTTTCTCTCTTCAAACATTTAAACAAAATCCATGATTATTTGTTTTGTTTTCTCTTTAGTTTGCCATGTTTGATCTTTTTAAAACATATTTACAAATTTCTTCATGAAAATGAATCCTCAAAGATAGCTTATATCTACAACTCAAAGCATCATTTTATTTCTGCATACATTTAACCTTGTAACGCTAGAGAAAATGGCTTGCCTCATGACTGAAAGTGGATTTGGGTATGTCTTGTGTGTAAAATATTCCCAGAAAGGAAATGGTAGCTTTACAACTCATATATTTAAAAAAAGATCTAGGAGTCAGATACTTTTGTGAGAATTTCTTTCCACCTATGCAAATTTGAACTGTCACTCAATCTATAAAAAGTGCTTAAAAAAGTGACAGAAAAAGAGGGTGACTACAGTAGACACATGTTTTTGAGTTGTTTGATTTATGCTACTCTGGTTGTTGAAGATTAGTGGAAACAGATTAAGGAACTTTATTATAAGCCAGAATAAACTGATGACAAACCTTGTTTTATTCATATAAACTTAAATCTGTGTGTGATTTTTTTTTTTACCTGACTTTCTTTTTTATATCTTCTTAATAGCTTGCATCTTGTATGGACAAATCTTTTAATTTCTTATATCTTGTTGATATATTTTAATATGTATCAAGGTAAAATAATTTTCTTGATTGTGTCAAATTTTCCAGTTACAGACCACATCTTGTGACTGAGAGTAACTGTTTATTAGACTGCATTTCCAACAATATTCTGATCATGTTTCTCCTGGGAGATTCTTACATTATAGCAATGGGCTTCAAGCAATTACTATTAATGTCTTTCCCTAAAATTTGCTATATTACTTTAATCCTCTGCTGAGCTCAGCTACACATATGAAATACATATTATCAGTTAATGTATTTTATTATCTTTAACTACCCCACAATTGTGGTTCAACACAAGACTAAAAGGAAATCTACAGAATTTAAAAGGATTTGTTTTTGTGTGTATTTTAAGGTTGGCACGTGTTTGTATGTAAATAATTAAAGAATAAGCATACAAAAACTTTGGTTTCTACCACAAACTATTCCCTTTTTATATGAACTGTAGTGCAAAAAAGTTATCAAAGTCCCTTGAGTGAGTCTATTTTTCTTTTTGATCCAGGTGTTAGGGCAAGTAAGTATCATTTTAATAGCATGCTCAAGTCAGCTTTGCAGAGTTGGAACAACCAAACAAATGTTTTTACTTACATCAACATTGGAAGGTTTATGCATACTTATGGTATGTTCATTTTCTTTTTCTTGGTTTTTAATTTAGGGTAAGTATGGATAAGTATTGTTATAATAGTCGAGCTTTGTGCAGAGTTGACCAAAGAAATACTTGTCTTACTTCATTGAGTGTCAGTATGGTTATAATGGCCAAGCACAAGTCAGCTTTGTGCAGAGTTAGAACAACCAATAAAAAGGTTGCTTTATTTCATAGGTGGTAGTGTTGAAGGCCATTAAAAGAGAGTAGAGTCATTACTGGATCAAGGGAACTAATGTTCACTAACATGAAGATAATTATCAGGTCATCCCATAAGTTCTGTCCGAATTTGGAATAAAGAAATGTTACATTTAATTACAGATTCAATCAACAATGTATTTTCCCTGATTATCTATGACTTCTTTACATCTATTAACAAGCTTACTAATTCCATTATTGTAAAATTCGTTTGGCTTTGATTCAAAGAACTCACAAATGTCAGTTTTAACCTCTTCCTGTGTTACAAAAGCTGTTTCTTCCAAATGATTCTGTAAGCTATGAAACAAATGGTAGTTTGAAAGAGCGAGATCGGGAGATTAAGGTGGATGAAGAATTATCTCCCAACCAAGTTCTTTGATCTTTTGTGATGTGATTCTTGCTGTGTGGAGTTACACATTGTCCTGATGAAACATCACCTTTTTTCAATTCACTAGAGTAGGTCTTTTTTTCCTCAAAGCTTGGTTCAAACGCTCTAATTGCTGACAGTATATTTGGGTATTAATTGTTGCATTAGGTGGTAAGTATTCAAAGTTGATTATTCCTTGGTGATCCCACCAGATTGAAAGAAGAACCTTTTGCCCATGAAGTTCCCTTCTTGGCTATGGCTGGGGTCCTTCCCATTTACCAAGCCACTGTTTATGGTGCTTAACATTTCAATAAAAGATCCATTTTTATTTGCCAGTCACAAGTCTATCCAAAAAAGGTGAAACAAGTTGGCGAGAATGGAGAGAAGAGCAGATGTCAACTCGGGATTTGAGGTTGTTTTCAGACAATTCATGAGGCACCCATTTTCCAAGTTTAGGAACTTTTCCAAGTTGTTGAAGATGACGATGAACAGTTGTATGGTTTGAACTAAGAACCATTGCCAATTGCTCAACTGATAAAGCAGGATTTTCTTCAAGGGCTGCTTCAAGAAGCTTTTCATCAAACTCAACTGGACGTCCGGTTCGATCTTCATCTTCAAGGGTGAAATCTCCACCTCTGAATTTTGCAAACCATCTTCTGCAAGTTCTTTCATTCACACATTCCTCTCCATAAACTGAGTGAATGTTTCTAGCCGCTTTGGCTGCTGAGTTTCCTTTCTTGAACTCATAAAGCATTATGTGCCTCAAATGATTCTTGGGTACTTTCATGTTAGCAGGGTTTTAA